TAACCTCCAATCACAAATTCAAAGCCACCTAAACAAAATTGAATCCGACTAAAATTTTCAAACAACTATAGACATTCATGAAAGAACTCCCTACGGAGAATAAATTTTATTTGAAGAAAAAATCTCTTATCTTCAATTTTGTAGATATAGGAAGACACCAAAAAAATCATACTCGTGAAATTTTCGAAAATTCAGACTTAGCCCTGAAAATCGGACCTATGCCACTTTTATAAGTGTATTTTACTCTATTAAGATATTTATTTTTTAAAAAAATGATAGCCACTTTTGAGAAAATTTTTAAAATGTCCCATGTGCTTTATGTAAAGTACCCCCAAAAACTAATGAATGATTTTCAAAATCACAGAGATTTCACTCAGGCCAAATGGACTGAAGTTTCTTCAATTTGGAAGAAAATGCTTTGAATAGTTTAGGCGCTAGTGTTGTTTACATACATCGGACAGACGGACGGACGTTTTGAAAAAAAACACTTTTTCGTTATCAGGGGACCCCCAAAAAGTATTTCCATTGAAATCTCGAAATCGATTTTCCGCAGCATTATATAACTTTCCATATATTACGTATATTACCCCGTATGCGAAAAAGTGGATAAATCTTGTTCCTACATATATAGTAAATTACTTGCTCTAACACGTTGTGTAATCAGAATCTATTTTGTGGGTCATTAAAACCGAAAAAGCGACTGACGGCTAAACGTCTGTCTATGCGGTTGTGATCAATATTTCTGCATAACCGTTCAGTTTTCTCCAAAATTGATATTACCCAATCGATCTGAACGACCTCAAGACCCTCCGAGTTTTAAATGAATATTTTGAGTTTTTTGAGTACTTTAAAACCTCAACGGTTTCAAAATTTTACCAAAAATAGCTCCAATTTTTTATTAAACTTTCCCCTGATAAAGCGTAATAATCTCTGAGGTACAGGTCTCATTTTTGTTGATTTTTTTAAATTAAAAAAGTACACATTTTTTCGACGACTTCCTACAAATACAATAATGAAGACATAGAGTAGTTTTCTTCTTAAAGAAATACGTTCATCAAAATCTGATCATCAAATAAAGTTTTCGAAAATGTGAGTGTTTTTGCGTTGCGTGAAATAGAGGCAATCTTTATCATTTTTCTCAAAAATACCTCCAGAAACCGTTCTGACGATTTTCTCCAAAATTGATATACCCCAATCGATTTGTACAAACTCGAAGCCCTGCTGTTGCTGTTAAATGAAATGTGTTCTGAAAAATCAGTTTTTTAAAGAAGGCCATGTACATTTTGAAAAGTCATTTAGCATAATTTTCCAATTTTGAATTTGAAAATTGAAATTTCCTGCATCCAACAATTAGAAACAAAATAATTCGCAAACTCTTAATACCAAACGGCAAAATTTTGTATTTCCTGTAATAGTTTTAAGGCGACGAATTTTCTTTGGAAGGGAATATTTAGCTACAAAAAAAAGTGACAATTTGCCATGTAATTATTTTTTTTATTTATCTCTATAATATCTTGGTTTTGTTGTAATTGACGGACAACTTGATATCATGTTTCCGGAAAATCGCAATACTGGTATTAGAGCAACAAAAAAGTGACCATTTCCTATGTACTTATTTTTTATCTCCGTAAAATCTAGTTTGATTGTAATTGTCGGGTTTTCCTATGTCAAATTGGTGAAATTTTTCATTTCAGCCAAAAACTTTAAAGCGACGAATATTTTAGGGGGCCACTAAGTAACAACAAAAAGCAACAAATTTCCTTATAATATTTTTTTATTTATCTCTGTAATGTATTGTTGTTTTGTAATTGTCGAGCTAACTTGATTAGCTGAAAAGCGATTTTTCTCGCGTAACAAATTAGCAACAAAAAGCTACATTTTTTTAAATAAATTTCTAGTATTTTTTAAAATTTTGCTACGTTAACTTACATACCTGGGTTAAAGGGGTGGAAAAGGTAAAGGAGAATGGGATGGAGTTCGTTTCTCCTCGTACACACGCCGTAATATTACGAAAACCTATCGGGTGAAAATCAATAAAACATTTCGTATTCTGCGCATGGTTCTTTGAGACTCCCAAAGAAGGCAGTTTGCAGCTCCCTACTGCACTAGAAGAATATCTACTAAACATCGTATGTTTCACTCGATTTGAACATGCCATTTCACTCGCATTTTCATATCAAATTACATTGTACGGCTAAGTTGACGTCTTGTAACTTATTTCCAAGTTCAGAATGAGACTCTCACGACTAACATAAAACATCCTTGAATCTATATAACCACACAATTTGTCAATCGCTCAAAAAAAGGCTCGTGTCGATTGGTCGAAAGAAATGCTCAAAAAAAGACGATTCGCGGTGCTTCGAAACACGGGTAAGACATCGTGACAGCGATGAATCGTGGATATACGCGTATGAGCCCGAAAGTAAACAGCAGTTGACTGTATGGGTGTTTCAAGATGAGCAAAATCCAACAAAAGTTGTTCGCGCACGAAGCATTTCCAAACAGATGGTCGCTTCTTTTTTCAAAAAAACAGGACATATCGCAACCGTACCACTAGAACAACGCAGAGCAGTCAATTCTGAGTGGTACACAATGATTTGTTTGTCAGCTGTCTTCCACGGAAATTAGGAAAACAACCCGCTGAAGACGGATCACTCTTCACCACGACATGCGAGCTCTCACACATCGGCTCAAACAACTGCATTTTTGAGCACCCTTAACATCGATTTGATGAGTCATCCGCCGTATAGTTCTGACTTGGCACCCAATGACTTCTTTTTATTCCCGTACGTAAAAAACAAACTGAGAGGTCAACGTTTTTCGACACATGAAGAAACGGTTGCTGCATTCAGAATGCATGATTTGGAGATATCTCAATCAGAGAGGCAAAATTGTGTAGTGTGGCGTCGTTAACACGAGGGCCAGAACCGTTAGGGCGGTGAAAGTGCGCTGCGGGGAGGAAGAGGTTCAGCCTGAACTTCCGCGGATTTTGCGCTCTGGCGGTTGACTCAGGTAGCGTAGCAGAGCCAAAAATAACCTTAGGCTGTAAACTCCTAGGATGCTAGCCAGCAAGCCCTCGCTTACCGACAGCAGGGGAGCCAACCTGGGAATCTTGTGTGTGGGGCGTAGCCCTCCTAAGATGCTAGCCAGCGAGCCCTCGCTTGCCGACAGCAAGCGAGTCTATCTAGGGAACTTGTGTGGTGGGGGGGTGTAGCCCTCAACTATTTAACGCGGTGCCATCTGCGCCCGCATTCTCATTCAGTTTACATCGGAGAGCGTTGTACGTGTAGGTACAAGGAGTGTAGGAGTGTGGGCGAGATGTCCGGAGAGTATGGGCCAGACGATCTCGCGTGCTGTAGGCACACGGTCGCCACGACCGGTTTAAATTGGCGTCAGGCTATGTGACGGTAATTGTCACGGGACGGAAGTCCGACAGCTCGCATTACGCGTGGCTTTTATTTTTCTGCGGTAAAGCAGGGTACTGGAAGGAAAAGGTTGCCGGAGTGTTTAAATTTAGCAATTTATTGTAAATTGTCTATAATTTATTTTAATATACTATTTTTATTTTGTTATTTGAATTTATTTCTCATTTCACTACGTCACAGTAGACAATTGGTTCAAACGCATGCACAAGTGTATAGATCTTCATGGGGAATATTTTGAAAACAACAAAGTGATTTTCGATTATTAATATTTGTTTTTGTTCTCTAATCCTTAAATATAAAAGGCAACCCTCGTACTTTGAAACAAGTGCCCTAAACAATTTATTTAATTAACACTTGCAATCAAATTGAACTACAAATCAAATAATAATATAATAAATGATAAAGAGTATGTAGGAATTAAAAACTTAAATTTACAATCCCTAATTTGAAATCAATGGAATAAATATAGAACAAAACCTTTTTCACATAGTTTTAAAATCAAATTTGGTATTATCCATCATTTTCAAATTGCTAAAAGGCAATTTGAAGTTTTAAAGAATTTGGAGCAAGTGAGATAAGCTTCTTTGTAGTAAAAGAAAGAAATGGCCATTAAAAGGGAGTGAAACACATTGCACTTTTCTTATTAGCCTATTATTTATGTAGAAAACAGATGAATAAAATAAATTCAAATACTCAAGTCAAAACAAGTCAACAATTAGCATTTGTAGACAGCCATTAATGTAATTATTTGCTTCTTGAAATTTTCAACAACAAAAAGGTTTGGTACATAAATGTGATTGTAAAGGAATTTGGATGTTTTTCCTGTTATTCGACTGTCATATGTTACAAATGAATAAATTGGTACTAAATTTTCGATATTCTTTTACAAATATTCCTCAAAATGAAGAATGTATTACATTAAAAGAAGTAATCAAAATGTTTTAGGTATACCAAACATTTGTCCAAAACATTAGCACATTGAATGTGAATCTAGTACAAATCAATTTGAACATTTAATTCAGACATAAATGAGTCACTCAGTGAGTAATTCAGACACAATAAGAGAATATTGTAATATTCATTGAGCTTCTTCTAATAGAAATTCAGTTCATAGAATGACAAAAAAAACCACTGAAAGGATATGCATATGGAATTTAAACTTTTAAAGTGTAAAATAGTTTTTATAACTTCAAAACAATCTACATGAACATAAATTACTTTCAATAATTAAATAAGAATAATATGGTATATTTGTATATTTATTAGGTCTAACTTTTACACTCCTCTTAATTTAGCCTCCTCTTAACAAACCATCTCTCAAATAAAATGTTGATAAGCAGCACTTTCAGTTATATTCAAATTATATTTTCTTAAAAGTTGTGTTCTTCAATCTCCTTATTCATATCCAATTCTCCTCCAAGAAATCTCAAATTCCCGCACTTAACAAGCATGTCCATAACCGAGTTATTCATATCTCAGATCTCAGATCTCATTAATTACATAACTTTCACAATATTTTCTCCACACGAAAATATTTGAATACACCGCCTCTTTTTAACGCTATCCTACGGCTATAATCCAAACTAAACATGACTGCCGAGAGGTTGACTTGCAGGATGAAAAGTAATGGAATTGGTCTATTACGGTCAACAATATATTTACCCTCTACGTAGAATGTAATCGGTAGATTTCATATTAAACGCCAATTGTAATCAAATTCTCAAGTGCATCCAGTTTGGAGTTGGACACATATTTTTTTACATACAATGTGTTTGTGATTGCCAAATTATTTTCCAAAAATCCTATAAGATCACACATGAAATATATCCGTACACCTCCGGTAGTACTAGATTTTCACGACATCTGTTAGCAAAAACGTGAAGTGCGTGAAGAAAATGAGGGCATAGTTATCCTTGTTCAACACGGGTTTGAAATTCAAATTAACTTATAAATTTTTAATGGTGAATGGTGATCCATTCTTCTTCGCCAGCAGAATGTGTTTCCGGGTGTGGTGATTTTTATTTGTTTAAATATGGCTGACGGTGAAAACATTGAAATTGACTATGACAGTCCTGACAGAAGTGATGTGGCTGTAAAAGTAATTTGCTTAGGTGACAGTGCTGTTGGTAAATCCAAGTGAGTGTATGGATATAAAAAATAAAGTTTACAATTGTACATGTGTGTGTTATTATAACATGTTATCTTTTTATAGGTTGGTTGAAAGATTTCTTTTGGATGGCTATAAGCCTCATCAACTTTCAACATATGCCTTAACCCTTTTTCGATATACCACAAAAGTGGAAACTGATTCTGTAGTTGTGGGTATGTCAAAATTACAACTTATTTCAGATCTTAAATATGCCGTACACTTTCCAATCTCAAGTTTGCTTCAAACATCAAATGTAATTGTTTCAGACTTCTGGGATACGGCTGGACAAGAGATGTTTCAGTCTATGCATCCATCATATTACCATCAAGCTCATGCATGTATCATGGTATTTGATGCAACAAGAAAGATAACATATAAGAATCTTTCAAATTGGTACCAGGAATTAAAGCAATACAGACCTCATATACCTGTATTTTGTGCAGCAAATAAAATAGATGGTATACTCAATTTTCTGAGAATTCTGAAAAATAAATAGAATATTTACTAATGTAAAATAATAAAATAGTTCTTTGCATTCTTGCAGCAAACATGGATGTTACACAAAAATCTTTTGCATTTCCTCAGAAAAACAACATTCCTTTGTATTATGTCTCAGCTTCTGATGGAACTAATGTGGTGAAGGTATAGTAGAAAGTAAATCCTTTGTTTTTTGTCAGTTGGTTTTGCCATTAATTTTGTACACATCTATATCTATTCTGTTATAGCTTTTCCGTGATGCAATTCAAGCTGCAGTAAAATATAAAAAGAATCCTACTGACATTACAGATCAAATAATGGAGGAACTAGAAAGAATATAAAATGCAATAGTTTAATATTTTCTAATTACAATTTTTAATCTGGTTTTATTTATGTATAATTTTTATAAATATCAAATATCTAAATAATTTTCATGTACAAGAGTACAACAATTAAGAATGCAATAAGTATAGAATGAACTCGCTCCACTTTATATTATATTTGAATATTTATTTATAAATTTTATGTTGTTGGACCTATAAAAATGAATCTGAAAGGGTTTTTTCATACGCCTTTATTTCTTTGACTATTGTGGTTGTCATTTATTTTATAGAAAAATGTGAGAAATAATCATAGGATACTATTACACAATAATAGTGTGCCTTTTCTATAAAAAGCCTTCATTTAAAAATAGACAAGTTTCACATTTTTTCATATAACAAACCCCTAAGACATTCCAGTATTCTATTATATCACAGTGCCTGTAATATTTACAGCATTTGCCTTAGAAAGTGCCTTTCTGAAAGAAAAGGTGTTGCTTCTAGATAGTTCTAAATGTTTCTAGTGTCAAGTGACATTTCTATGTTTCTCCTAATTACTACAGGTTTTTTTATAGAGCATTTACTGTACCAAAGAATACTTCATTTAATTTGTTTCTAGTCCATGATAGACTGATATTAATATTGAGTTATCTGAGTTAAGATGTGAATTTCAGTAAATAGATTTGATTTCCGATGTTCTGATGAAATTTCCTTGGAAATTGATTGCTGACATTGATGTTGATATTATGTAATTTGAAATGCACATATGTATTTCAATTATCAAAAGGGTTGCCTGTAAGAAGGGACCAACAGATTCAAGTGCCGTTACCAGAAAAATGAATGGGAACAATCAAACATTATGCACAGTGAAATAATCTTATTGGTACCTGGTGATTGCTTTTTTAAAGTATTGTTGTTTTACAAGTCATTTTTGACTGCACATAGAGATAATTAAAAAAATAGATAACTTTGTACATTTTTTTTTTTAGCTTTAAGTGTCGTATATTAATGTAAAATGATGTTATGACTGAATGTTTAAAATGTGTTGTTGTTTTTTCCATTTGTATTAGTTACAGCACAAATATAAATCACCAAAGAAATCGTAAAAATATAATAAATTGCTGTAATGTATTGTGTAGCTTACTTCAGATATTTAAATGTATTTGTGATTATGGAAGTTGGTTGCAATAATTTTTCAGAGGTAGTTGTACTTTCAGTGTAAGTCTGAATAATAATAGTTATTCTTTTTGTATTAGCATCACAATATGTGTTAACAGGGCCATTTGCATGCCTTCAAACAAAATAAAAAAATCTTACATGGATATCTTGGAAAAAATCTTACATGGAAAAGCAGTGAACTAATGATTTCAAATAGATAATTGGGCATGGTATTAGATTACATGTTCCATGTTATACAAAATTGTTATTAATTTTTAGAGGTGAAAAGAATCATTTTTCAGTTCAAATTAGATGTCAAATGACAAACATTTGACATTATTTGAATTTGTTAACCACAGTTGACTGATTTGTGAGTGCATATTAAAGTTTGTATTTTATTGTTGATTTAACAGCAATAAAAGGTTCTACTTCTCATTCATTCACCTTATTTATGAAGTTGTGAAAAGTTAAGATGAAAATTCATGTGTTTTATTACAGTATTTCTACTGGAACTAAAAGAGGGAACATTCCAAGTTAGGTAAATAGCAGAATCTATTTATGTCTGTATTAAAAAAGTATATCACAGAAGCAAGGAAAATTTAATGTAGTTGCAACAATTCAGTACCTCACATAGTGAATCTTTATGGGTTTTCAATTTATTTCTGTTCAACATTTTGTGTACTTGCTCAAAACAAAAAAAAAATGAATTAATGAAATTACCAATATAAAGGTCAGTGAAGAAATCAGTTCTTTTTAATTTGTATTTCAATTTATCTTCTTGAATAAATGGAAGCAAGAACTATTTAATTATTTGAATTATTTATTTATGCCAATCGGCTTTATACAATTAAGAAAATACTATAGATATATAGTTATAAATTATACATCAAGTAGAAATACAAGTACGTAAATACAATACATCATTGAGCAAATACAACATGTTTTATTTTTGACAAAAATGTAATGTAAAATCTCCCAAAAAATCAATATCAGTACAATACTTGTTTACCAAATTTACTATTCTATTCTTCCTAGCATTGTACACATAACTTTTGGATGATTTCTCTGCATTTAATAGTCTGCATGATCTCAATTCAGATCTCGGGCAAATAAATTCAAATTGTTCCTATATTTCGGGGCAATATTTTTGTCCATTAATGGACGTATAAAAAAATATAAGATCCATAACTCCTTGCCGATCTGAAAGATTGTCTATATTAAGTAAATTGTATGAGTCTGTGTTATCAATATTATGTCTTCTAATGCCAGTATAATACCTGACATAATTGCAGAATTTTTTCTGTATTTTTTCAACTTTGGCAGTAAGATTAGTATATGGTGACCATATAACAGCAGAATTCCAATATCGGGCAAACCAGGATGGTATATAAATGAATAAGTGTGTGAACATCGTTGAATTCTCTTCCTGATCCGAGTATAATTTTGAGAGTGCTGAATGCTTTAGATATTATCATGTGTACGTGTTTTGAAAAATTTAATTTGTTGTCAATAATGACACCCAAGTCTTTTACAGATGTAATTTCCTCCAGTTGCTGTCCGTTAAGGTGATATATCATAGGTCACAGATGAAGTGAGCGGGAGAAAGACCGCACACTTACACACATACAATTTCAACTTATTTTCACTACACCATTTGCTCAGTTCAGTAATGTCTTTTTGAAGAATGTAGATGTTGTTTTCATTATTTATATTTCTAAAGATTTTCAAATCATCAGCATATAACAAATATTTTGATTTGATTTGGTCTCCGATATCATTAATAAAAATGTTAAACAGGATTGATCCTAATTATCATTACATTTCCCTCAATCAAGACATCAAGTGGAATAGTTTACTATGTGTAAAATTTTGTCATCCTTCCCTGTTACTCCAATTTTTAAAGGACTTTCAAAGGAGTGGAGATAATTTGATTTGTACCATTACCCATACAGTTTCATACCATTTTAATGCAGGCATTAACTTTTGTAACAGGTTTGTGATTGTGGATGAAACTTGTAACAATCATTACACTTTCAAAACCAATCAACATTGAAAAACATGGCCACTGACTGGTGAGAGTGCACCAATTTTGTCAATCCAGTTTTGTTAGCTGTAAAGATGACAGATACTGTGGTTTGGGATTCCCTGGTGAATCCTGATTTACATAGCCGGGGACAGTCACCCATCATTATTGGATCATTTGAAACAACATGGTTATAAAACAGCCAAGATTGGTGCACCAGAAAGTGCACCTCTTTCACAAGAACAACACTGCACTTTCCACAAGAGTAAAAAAGGAGTTAGAATTGGTTCCTTAACTTGGCATTTATCCAATTTTATCCCGAGTGATTTCTTAATATTCCACAAATTGAAAATTTTACTTGTCAGGCAAACACTTTCATCCCATGATGTGTTTACTATTGTGACCAAGTATTTCCCAGTATAACAACACCAACTTTTCAAAAGGGAATTTAAAAAATTGAAATTCACTGAACCAAGTTCATAGTGATACGGAGAAATTTACAATACTGTGGCTCTGAAAATTGAACATACATAATGTGACGTAGTGACCATAATTGTTCTCATATGAATAGTTATGGAAATAAAACATGAAATTTTGATATTTGAGATTTCCAGGTTTGTGCAATTTGAACTTTTCTCAGGCAAAATGAAGCGTTTTCAGACTCACAACACTGTTTCAGAAAATCAAAATCTACAGAAACTGCCATTTTTTTCTACCTCTAAATTAAGTTCATTATGTTACACATTCAGAACTGAAGTGTTAAATAATCCGAAAAGCAATGTAAGAGATTATTATGAGGTGTGTTTTAACCCATAAGTCCCAACGTTGCATTGAATATTTATATTTTTTTAAACAAACGATTCGATGTAAATTTGGTCTGAATCACAATCGCACTAAGAAGAAATGCTAGTTGATCAAGTTTTGCACTTTTCATTCATAAGCGAGCGTAAATTTGATTTCGTTGTATTTTGAAACAGATTTTGTAGTTGAATTGTGCGACCGATATTCAACTCTTTAATTTAATTATTAAACAATACTTTTTTCACTGTATATTACTCCGGCAAAACTGCCTTGACCCTATTTTGTCATTTCAGATATTTATTATGTAGAGAAGTTCTTACATAGTTTAATATTGATGCTTTACAATAATGTTGCATTTACGCAACGTTTGGATTAGTGGGTTATATGGTCTAAACATGATATTAGAACAAATGCTGTTGGAATGTATTCGTTGAGGAATAGACATGTAGCTACTGTGTCCTATTTCCGTTCTTGATATAACTATCTGATTTGGAGACTATGTCTTATTCTGCATTGTTGCATCTCTGTATAGACAATGCTTCAAGCACAGAGTAATGATATATCTCGTTAGTCTATTATGCTTCAAGCGTAATTATTTTTCTACAAAAATTATGCTTATTTCGGAAATAGAAGGAAATATAGGCCTCTCTCAACCGCTGAACTTATTTCTAGAGGAAGATGTTGATCTTATTTCTGCAAATAAGGTTGATGTTGAGGACATTCCTCCTAATTTTGACGACATGAGATGTAAGAAAAATATAGATGTTCTTCTGGAGGAAAAAGAAATAGAAGATAAATTGATTGACCGTGCAATTATCAACTCATGGAAAATATATAATTTTGCGAATGAAGAAAATACGTCACAACTACAATTTTGCTCATACCGCCATGTCTATAACGAAATCTGAAGTCTGAATCTGAATCTGTGCAAATGAAAGTGAATGCTATATTGAAAAAATGAATACACAGAAGACTGAAAAATCCAATTTTGGTCTACCCACAAACACTTTCCCACCTAAAGAAGTACGTTATCATGATGTACGGATAATGACAGAGATGGCTCAGGGCATACATTTGTCATCGGTAGTTCCTCTGGCCTGATCATTCCTTCCTCTTTCTTGTCCTATCCTTCCTCACCCGTTACTTGCACCACTTAGGGCCGGTTTCAC